CAAAAGCCACTCCAGAAGTCCTCAGGACTTGAAAAGCAACCTTGTTCCATTGTTGGCAGTGGTGGGAAGTTCTAGGGGGCGAAGCTTGCAGCTCCTTTGACCCAGGGATTTGCGGCGTCTTTTCTTGCGCCTGCCTCGCCAAATGTGCGAGCAGAGCATAGGGGAGTCCAATGCGCTCCTGCAAGCAGAGAGCCAAACTACCGACCCAGCGTCGGTCCCCCAAAGCGAGCAACTGCGTCCCACAGAAAACGTCAGCCACCTTGCAGCTGCGTCTTTGCTGCCCAGCTCAAAATCCCAACAGCTGTTTCTCTCGTCCTCCTCTTGGCTGAAGGCGCTACTCCTCCAAGCACAGGTGGGTATCACATTCCAAAAGCTGGAGAGAGGCGCCCAGCTATCAGGAGAAGAAGAACCTGTCACTTGCTCTCCTTGATGCAACATCAACTTGATGAAGGATGCACTGCTAGCATCCTGGCGACACTGTTTTTCTTGTATCGATAAGGGTTTGTTATTTTTGTAGATGTCTGTTAGGCGATATAAGCCTTTGGTTTGCCAGGTTTTTATCTGGAGGTTTTGTGCAGAAGGAATAATGGGTGATGTGCCAGGGGAATTAGTGGGGATGGGGTCGGGGACAGTTTGCCTATTTCTGCTTTCCATGCTTTAAGCATGGTCTGTGTCTACCTGTTTAGTGCTGTGGGAATTTTCCTTAGTTTGTTTGGGTGGAACAGGTATGCTGTGGTGCAGTAATTTCAATTGTGTCTCTCTCCAGGTGTACCCATTGATTTGTCTCATCTTCTAGTATATATGGGATTATGTGGCGTACTTGGTTGGCGATGTAATATTCTTCTATGTTGGGGATTCCCCATCCTCCCTCTGGAGAGGGGAGGTGCAGATATTTGGGGCTTATTCTTGGTTTTTTCGTGTGAGAAGATAATAAGTGCAGTTTTTTCTGCCATTTTTCCCTCTCTTTTTTCTTTTTCCTCTCTCCTTTCTCCTCCTGTGAAGAGGCTGCATCTTAATGTTTTAATGTTGTATTTTAATCTTTTTAAAATTGTATTTTAATCAACTTTTTTTAATTATTGGTTGTTAGCCACCTTGAGCCCGGTCTTAGCTGGGGAGGGCAGGGTATAAATTAAATTTATTATTATTACAGTGGTGCCTCGCAAGACGAAATTAATCCGTTCCACGAGAGTCTTCGTCTAGCGGTTTTTTCGTCTTGCGAAGCAAGCCCATTGACGGATTAGCGCTATTAGCGCTATTAGCGGTTTAGCGGCTATTAAAGGCTTAAAGGCTTAGTGGATTGGCTGCTAAAAGGCTATTCTATGATATTAAAGGCTTAGCAGATTAGATAAAGGGGGAAAGCGAAAAAAAATCTCAAGACTCGCAAGGTATTTTCGTCTTGCGAAGCAAGCCCATAGGGGAATTCGTCCTGCGAAGCAACTTCAAAACGGAAAACCCTTTCGTCTAGCGGTTTTTCCGTCTTGCGAGGCATTCGTCTTGCGGGGCACCACTGTATTTGTGGAGTTGGGCTGGGGGAATCCAGATTGGGAGGGTTTCGAATAGGTAGGTTAGTTTTGGGAGGGTGATCATTTTGATCATGGCTATTTTGTCTGAGAAGTTTTGTGTTGTTCCATTTCTTTAGGTCTTTGTTAATTTGTCGCCACAAGGGGTTGTAGCTGTGGAGGTATAATTTGTTGAGGTTTCTGGTTATTTGTACCCCTAGGTATCTGACCTTGGTGTGGCAAAGTTTTATCTTGGTGACGTTAGCGAATTCTTTTTTTGGAGGGGGACGTGTTGAAGCACATAGCTTCCGACTTTGCAAAATTTACCTGTAGGCCCGACACCATTGCAGATGTGTTGAGTTCTCTGATTAGAGATGTTGCTGTGTTTTTGGGGACTGTTGTTGTGACCATTAGGTCATCTGCAAAGAGCCCTAATTTATAGGTTCTGTTTTTAAGAAGACAATGAAATCCTAACCGCAGCAGTATGGTGACTTGCATACAAATCTACCTTTGAGTTACTTAGATGGGGGAGTTGAGTTACTTACATGAAAGTTACCCTTCATCCCCAGGCCAAAATAAACCACCGAGGCTTATTATATGGCCCCAGTTGGCAACTGGAAGGGGGTCTCTTGTGGCAATAGGAGAAACCAGCCCCTCAGTTAAAACCTGCCAAGGTTTCTCATTTGTTCAGTTCTCTGCATTTCTGAATCAGTTTGAGAATTTCCCTTAAAAACAAAATTATTATTATTATTATTATTATTAATTTATTTATTTATTTATTTATTTATTTATTGCATTAACTGTATTTTTCCGGGTATAATACGCCCCCCTGTATAAGACGACCCCTATTTTGGTGGACTCCAAATTAAGAAAATGGGGGAGATCGCCCAGAGTTGTTAAGCCTTTTTTGGGGGGGGGTTCCCAAAATCGCCCACCCGCCTGACCAATGCTGGCAATTACATGTGTCGCTGAAGCCACCAATCACCTGCCCAAAGGCCGTAGTGGCAGCCAATCGACAGCAGCCCTTGCCGCAGCCACCAATCACCGCTGACAATCTGCTTGTGCCTGCATCCAATCACCCATTTCCCCCCTCTGCACTATCCCAGTATAAGTCGACCCCCATTTTTTAACATTATTTTATAATAAAAAAAAAAAGTGTCTTCTACACGGAAAACTACAGTATATACTGCCCTATTCCCAGAACTCTCAGGGCGGTTCACAGAAAAGATCGCAATATGAAATCAAAATAAAAACAATAACCCAATAATACACACACCCCAAAATGAAAACAAAAAAAAAATGAAAACTAAGCATTTTGATGCAAACCCACCCTTCACCCCCAATGTACATAGTTAGTTTTCTTATACACAAGCCCCGCATTCCCCTTTTCTGTAAAATCCCAGAGCTGGTTGCAACAATGATGTATATAGTGACAAAACGAATCTGTTAAAACTGAAAAAGAAAAGGGCAAAAACAATGGAAAACCATTCCAAATACAGACCAACCAAAATAGTTCCCTATATAAAAGCAAAAACAAAACATTTAAAAACAATTCCACACATAGAAACAGTTAGAAATCGTTCCAGCCCAGATTGCGGACTGTGACACCATTCCAACATAGATGTATGCAGTCTATGCCTCTTTTTGCAAATAGCTTTCCGTAATACAATGTATTTTTTGTATGTTGTGCTCACGAATACTTGCATTTTTATCCACATTTTAATGCCTCTTTTGTACGCGTTAGCTTGGCTGGAGAACCGTTTTGTGAAATTCAGAGAAGCGTGGTCTTCGGAGGATGCCTGCGTTTTGATTCGCGCACTGTTCTCGAAAAGTGTGGGTTGGTGGGTTTGCCCTTAAATGCAACCAAAATCCATTTACTCCCCCTACCCCCCTGTGCTTGACGGGGTTGATGATCTCCTGCTAAAACCAGGGATGTTGAGTGATTCCCCTGGTGGCCTGCGTTGGGGCTCACGAAGGGCTCGTCCTCCTTCCCCACTTGCCCCCCAAACCAGGGGTCCGAGTGGTTTTCCGCTTGTCCCACCGTCTCGCTTTTAGATCAAGGGAGCTGGAGTTTGTCCACTGTTTAGCTTCCCGCCGCAGTGGTATCTATTTATCTACTTGCACTGGCATGCTTTCGAACTGCTAGGTTGGCAGGAGCTGGGACCGAGCAAAGGGAGCTCACTCCGTCGCAGGGATTTGAACCACCGACCTTCTGATCGGCAAGCCCAAGAGGCTCAGTGGTTTAGACCACAGCGCCACCCGCATCCCTGCTTTTTTAAATATGGCAGCCCTAGTGGGTGGCGCTGTGGGTTAAACCACAGAGCCTAGGACTTGCCGATCAGAAGGTTGGCGGTTCAAATCCCTGCGACGGGGTGAGCTCCCGTTGCTCAGTCCCTGCTCCTGCCAACCTAGCAGTTCGAAAGCACATCAAAGTGCAAGTAGATAAATAGGTACCGCTCCGACGGGAAGTGAAACGGTGTTTCCGTGCGTTGCTCTGGTTCGCCAGAAGCGGCTTAGTCCTCCTGGCCACATGACCCGGAAGCTGTACGCCGGCTCCTTCGGCCAATAAAGCGAGATGAGCGCCGCAACCCCAGAGTCGGTCACGACTGGACCTAATGGTCAGGGGTCCCTTTACCTTAGTGGTGGTTCATGTTTCTTGCCCCTTCCCCTCTCTGAGATGGCAATGGCTGTGCCATCCTAGGTTTGTAAGCTGGTTAGTTTTGAGCAGGCAAAATTTTCCTTTTCCCGGCCAAGGGGGAGCTGGGGGCTGCCTTCCCTTGGTTACACAGAAAGATTCTGGCATGTACCGCAAACAGATCTATTTATGTCCATGAACAATAGGGCCAGACGTTGGAGGGGAAAATTCCTTTTCCAGCGGCTAGTCAGGGCCTCTCCAAAAGAATGTGTGCATTCCTTCGCTTTCCTCTCTTGGCAGTAGGTAGGGCTGGGAGGACGGCAAAGCGAGGAGGGAGCAGACCCACGAAACAAGGAAAACCTCCATGACGAACTTTCTCCTTTCAGAGGAAAGGAAGCGAGAGGTGGATGTTCATGGCTGTGGGTTGTCTGGAAAATTCCTCCCCCTCGGGGCTTTCAATTGATTGATACCTGAATCTCGAAATGGTCTCTCCTCCTCCCTTGCCACACAACAAAAGCCAAAAATACCGTATTTTTCGCTCTATAAGATGCACCAGACCATAAGACGCACTTAGTTTTTTCGAGGAGGAAAACAAGAAAAAAAATATTCTGAATCTCAGAAGCCAGAACAGCAAGAGGGATCGCTGCGCAGCGAAAGCAGCTATCCCTCTTCCTGTTCTGGCTTCTGGGATAGCTGCACAGCCTGCATTCGCTCCATAAGACGCACACACATTTCCCCTTACTTTTTAGGAGATAAAAAGTGAGTCTTACAGAGCAAAAAATACGGTATTTAGAGTCACAGAATCGTAGAGTTGGAAGGGACCGCGAGGGTCATCTAGTCCAACCCTCTTGCGATGCAGTAATCTTTTGCCCAGGTTGGGGCGCAAACCCACAACCCTAAGATTAAGAGTCTCGTGCTCTACGGACTGAGCTATAAACGCACAGAAACATTGGGTTAGGGGAGGAAGGGTTGATAAAGCAAACATCTATAGCAGGCATCCCCAACCTTCGGCCCTCCAGATTTTTTGGACTACAGTTCCCATCATCCCTGACCACTGGTCCTGTTAGCTAGGGATCATGGGAGTTGTAGGCCAAAACACCTGGAGGGCCGCAGGTTGGGGATGCCTGATCTATAGAGTACAAACAAGCCTAAAGCTGTGCTTGGAAAATATTCCTGGTTGTAAACTTTGCTGAGATGGTTCAGCGGCTCTTGTGCTATGCAAGCTTGCAAGGCTACACTTGATTACTTCTCAAGCTGTGGCGCTTACCCTTTCTGACCTTAAGGTGGCATATGCACATTCTGCTGAAGGTCCTTCGCATTTGTTTATAGCTGTTTGTGCCAAGGCTCCTATATACTCCCCCCCCCCAAATGCTTTTTATTGAGATTTAATACCAACACCAACCAACAAAAACATCACATACATATATCCTACTTTATGCTCCATAGAGCCGTTGACTTCCGTCCTTCCCTTCCGCAAGTTTTCTTATTCCAATCTATAATTCACAGTTAAGAATTACGCCATGACGTAAGATTTAATTCAATCCTGCCAACGTTTTCATATTTCTACAGTTCTCACTTATATAAACCATAAATTTACTCCATTCTTTTTGGTACTTCGTCTCCTCCTGATTGCGAATTCTGTGTGTCAATTCTGCCATTTCAGCGTATTCAACCAGCTTTATCTGCCATTCCCTTACAGTCGGAATCTCCTGTAACTTTTGGGCTATCAAAACTCTAGCTGCTGTTGTTGCATACAGATATAATCTTTGGTCTGTCTTCTTAATATCTTCTCCCACCAAACCCATGCTCCTATATACTAATATATTTCAAGGTAACCCGGATTTTGCACCAAGAAGGGGAGAGCGCTCTTGTCTTCAAACCCTGCTTGCCAAGATAAGGTGAAACCTGGGAGCCATTGAGCAAGTCTATCTCCAGGAAAGATGCCCCAAACCTAACACCAAAGGGGGATCCTCCTTTATTTATTTCTTTTTTTTGAATTTACATTTTATTTATTTGTTAACATTCTTATATTACATCGGTAAACATTGTCATATTACATTACAGGACTTACTATAATATAATTTCCAACATGTAAGAAGAATTATATACAAATTTTATATACCTAGAAAGAAAATGAGACAAACAAACAAAAAGAACAAAGAGAAAAAACAAAAACAAAATTTACCCCCCCCCAAATCATATACATACCAACACACTAGACTGCCTGTCTCTCCCATTGTATATTCCTTTTTAACAAATGAATGTACTCTTATTATTGCATATTTCTTTTCATATTATCTAATGCATTCCTATATCAATATGTGCTCTTAGTCTTATTTCTCAACTCAGTCTCACTCCAACGTCAATCAAATGCTAGCACAGAAAGTGAACCTTTGCTGTATTTTTGAACATATGTTTTATATCTATCCCACTTTTCCATAAATTTTTGAACCCTCCTTTACAGTGTTACCTCGGGTTACATATGCTTCAGGTTACATACGCTTCAGGTTACAGACTCCGCTAACCCAGAAATACTGCTTCAGGTTAATAACTTTGCTTCAGGATGAGAACAGAAATCGTGCTCCGGCGGCACAGCTAAAGTGGTGCTTCAGGTTAAGAACAGACCTCCGGAACAAATTAAGTACTTAACCTGAGGTACCACTGTATTTCAGTGGGGGCTCCTCCCTTTGGGGGAAGGCATGCAGGCCCCATGGAAACAATTCCACACTTGCCCCTGTTTGCTGGGTGCCGTCTGCCTTCAGAGGGAAGGACAAACCAACAAAACGAGGAGACTTGAAAACCGGAAGATTACCTCTGCCTGCTCCAGCAGCTGCAACTCTGCAGGCACACTTGTTGCTTAAGCATCAAGCTGCCTTTAAAAGCGTGCAGTTCCTTGGAAGGGTTCTGATGGAGCACAAACTGCAGCTGAAAGCCGCTGCTCCGCGTTTAGCCTTCTGTAATTGGCTGGCAAACTGCGGAGGTTTCCTCCCTCCTCCTCTGATCCTGCTTCTCTGCCTCCCAGCTGGGGTTTCCCTGCCTTCCCTCCTGCCCTTCGCAGAAAGGTCACGACAGTGGGAAGCTGGCGGGTGAAGGCAGGCAATGGGTCCCAGCACAGTCTTTCCTGTCCTGCCTTGAACAGGAGAAGAGACTCCGCTGGGTCAGGCCAGCGACCCACCATCCTCTTCTCCCAGGGGCCAGTCGGATGCCTGCAGGAAACCCGGAAGCAGGATCCGAGCACAGGGAACCTCTCCCCTCCTGTGGTTTCCAGAAACTGCGACTCGGAAGCGTTGCAGCCACAACAGGGAAGGCAGAGCAAAGCCACCCTAAAATTCAGCTTCGTGTCCTGGTGTCTACAAGTTCTGTTGTTGTTGTTTAGTCGTTTAGTCGTGTCCGACTCTTCGTGACCCCCTGGACCAGAGCACGCCAGGCACTCCTGTCTTCCACTGCCTCCTGCAGTTTGGTCAAACTCATGCTGGTAGCTTCGAGAACACTGTCCCACCATCTTGTCCTCTGTCGTCCCCTTCTCCTTGGGCCCTCCATCTTTCCCAACATCAGGGTCTTTTCTCTTCTCATGAGGTGGCCAAAGTATCAGAGCCTCAGCTTCACGATCTGTCCTTCCAGTTAGCACCCAGGCCTGATTTCCTTCAGAATGGAGAGGTTTGACCTTCTTGCAGTCCATGGGACTCTCCAGAGTCTCCTCCAGCACCAGAATTCAAAAGCATCAATTCTTCGGAGATCAGCCTTCTTGATGGTCCAGCTCTCACTTCCATACATCACTACTGGGAAAACCATAGCTTTAACTATACGGACCTTTGTTGGCAAGGTGATGTCTCTGCTTTTTAAGATGCTGTCTAGGTTTGTCATTGCTTTTCTCCCAAGAAGCAGGCGTCTTTTAATTTTGTGACTGCTTTCACCATCTGCAGTGATCATGGAGCCCAAGAAAGTAAAATCTCTCACTGCCTCCATTTCTTCCCCTTCTATTTGCCAAGAGGTGATGGGCCCAGTGGCCATGATCTTTGTTTTTTTGATGTTGAGCTTCAGACCATATTTTGCGCTCTTCTACACGTTCTCGTGTTAGGAGAAAGGGATGTACAGTGGTACCTCAGGTTACAGACACTTCAGGTTACAGATGCTTCAGGTTACAGACTCCGCTAACCCAGAAATAGTACCTCGGGTTAAGAACTTTGCTTCAGGATGAGAACAGAAATCATGCTCTGGCGGCGCGGTGGCAGCGGGAGGCCCCATTAGCTAAAGTGGTGCTTCAGGTTAAGAACAGTTTCAGGTTAAGAACGGACCTCCAGAACGAATTAAGTTCTTAACCATTAGGGCCAGTCGTGACCGACTCTGGGGTTGTGCGCTCATCTTGCTCTATAGGCCGAGGGAGCCGGCGTTTGTCCGCAGACAGTTTTTCCAGGTCATGTGGCCAGCATGACTAAGCCGCTTCTGGCGAACCAGAGCAGCGCATGGAAACGCTGTTTACCTTCCCGCCGTAGAGGTACCTATTTATCTACTTGCACTTTGAGGTGCTTTCGAACTGCTAGGTTGGCTGGAGCAGGGACCGAGCAACGGGAGCTCACCCCGTCGCGGGGATTCGAACCGCCGACCTTCTGATCGGCAAGTCCTAGGCTCTGTGGTTTAACCCACAGCGCCACCCGAGGTACCACTGTATAATTTTGCCATTTATAATTTTATACACCTTTATCATTTCTCCTCTTACTCTCCTTTTCCAGGCCAAACACTCCCCAATGGCTGCAACCTTGGGTGCCCTTTTCTGAATCAGGTATCATTTAAATAGGGCATCATTTAAATAGGTTGCTCCACCCACTTTTGCCTTTGGCCACGCCCCCAAAAGTGGCCCTCAAAAGGCTGACTTAGAAGAAAATGTGTGTGCCTGATCTAGACCGGTGTTGCCTACACTGACTGGCAGTGGTGTTCCCAAGATTTCAGGCAGAGTAGAGTGGTTCCCGTCGCCTTTTCTTAATGTGCAGGTACCTAGGATTTGAACTCAGGACCATCTGCGTGGAAGGCAAGCAATGGGCCGGCAGTCTGTCTCCCGTTTCCATCTTACTTTGCTGCCATTGGGTAGTGCCTCGCGAACACTTCTAAGCAGTTATTTAGCAATAACTCTCTCTTAACGTCTGAGTGTCCTTCCCCCTACAGTGGTACCTCGGGTTTAGTACCTAATTCGTTCCGGTGGTCTGTTCTTAACCTGAAACTGTTCTTAACCTGAAGCACCACTTTAGCTAATGGGGCCTCCCGCCGCCGCTACACCACCATCGTGCAATGCTTATCCTGAAGCAAAGTTCTTAACCTGAAGCACTATTTCTGGGTTAGCGGAGTCTGTAACCTGAAGCGTATGTAATCCGAGGTACCACTGTACTGCGATAAAAAGGTGCAGTAGGTGTGGCAGGCGATGTGGATTTCATTATGCTGAGCCAACCAGGTTCCCTCCAGATGTTTTGGACTACAACTCCCATCAGCCCCACCCAACACAGTCGGAAGCGCTTCGCCTGATGGGAGTTGTAGTCCAAATGTCACTCTGCGTCTGTCTTCCCTGCGCCCCACTGTGAAAAGAAACAAGAGAAAGTTTCGATTCAGCCACTCCTTCCACCGGCATTTGTTTAAAGTTGAGATTGCTGGCACCTGCTTCAAAGATTCTGTGTCTCAGCTGTTTTGAATTCAGCAGGCAGCTCACTCCGTTGTCTCTTATCTGGCCTTGCTCTGGAACAGAATCGGAATGTCCATCTTTTGACCTTAGCAGTTACTTTGCCTCTAGTTAGGGCTGAGCTCTATCGGCAACCGCCTCCCAGATTTCCGTCACAGGCGCAAATAAATGCTTACGTCCTTCTGTCTGCTCAAGGAGCTGAGTCTCTTAGAGCCGGACGAACCAAAGGTCACAGAGATCCAGAAAGTTCATGACTTTGACTCTCCAGGTGCAATT